TTTAGGATCGCCTAGATGAGTGATGTATGTCGAAAATCAATTGTCACAACTAACCCACGTACCTTATCAGTCACGCAGTAATCCTCAAAAGTCATCAGGGGAATCTGACTTGAAACTCAAAATGAACCGTTTTTATTATTTACCTGCTACAAATTTGCGTTCCTGGCCATGATGGTGGTGGCTATGGGAATTTTTCTTTCCTGCTCAAATCTCTAGCTTTTCCTTACCAGTGAAGGTATTATGGTAACTAAACCTCACTTCCGGTGTCGTTTCTCCCTGCTCTGCGTTTGTATTTATTGGTTACCTGGTGTTGTAAGAGTTATTCGGGATCAGACAGTGAATTACGTGTGAGGAGGAGTTCTATATGAGGATAATTAAGGGTATAGTGTTACGGTCGAAATCGTAATTGCGGTTGCATGATTTTTGCCATTACCGGTGTGTGCGTCCGTTTTGTGTGGATTTACTTTCAACTTCTGCAGCCTTTTGCTGATTGGTCCGTTCGCCGAATTTTTTGGAATGTGGAGTTTCTACTTGACTCCATACGGCCCCCGTTGTGGTTTTATCTCTTCGTGCATTACACGACGTCCAACTTTATAATGGGAATTATTTACAAGCTCATACTTATCGTGTGCCATAGAATATTCCCATAATTCTATATTTTCTTGGTGACAAATGAGTATTATCATATTTTGTCCCTGGTATAAAAATACTGTTAGATCTAGCCCTGTGTCCTATTCCTATATGGTTTTACTAGCGTTGATATGTGATGGTTGACAACGTTTCATCAAGCCTCCTCTTGAAGGATTCAATAGTTGGTGCATTATCGACATGGAATAAGAAAGCTTCCGAATGATGATGCACACACGGACGGCAAAAGATTGGTGCCGGTACTCCAGTCGGCCTTTTCGGACCCCCAACTTAAATGTGTCCTCTGAGCTGAACGTTTCAGTTCAGATCACGTTGTAGCCATTTCCTCCGGGTGGATGACATGCTCTGTGTATGTATATATGCGGGGTCAGTTTATTCGAACCGACCAATAATGCGTTTAAGCTAACCGATATTCTTCGCGGTTGCGGAGGAAACCCTGGCACAATTGTTCGAATAGTCAAACTTTTCTTGACGAATGACGCTTAGGTCTTCCTCACTTGAGGCATGCGGCATTAGTTGAGTTTCGAGGAAATGTAGAAATCATCTCTTGGGAAGTGGTGTTACGACTTTGCATTTCGAATCATTGATTTCAAATTTGGTCTCCGGGGGACATAACAACCACACTAACTTTTTCCTGGAGTACTAGTGAGCTCTTAGGTTGTGTAAGTGTTTTCAATATTTTGGTGTTATCCGAAAGAAATGTTGTTTTTCGCCCTAGAACTTCCGGCAGATCGTTTAGGCACATGTATTTGAGGAAAAGTTGAGTCCAAGAGCAGGGGCTTGTGAAACTTTACAGGGAACTGTAAGAGAACCAGACAACTAATCAAAATTTGATTCGTTGTTTGAGAAACGTCTAAATTTAATCAATAGCAAGACCTAAAATGCTGTCACGTTGGGTCTATGCAACGGTGTCTGGTGCATCACTCAATCTAGACGCTTTCAAAAATTGAGAATAAATCCTACCCACTGTGTCCCCTTCTTTGCCATTTCAGACAAGAAGCAAGTTTTTCAGCAGAGGAGCGTCCACAGTCCAGTGCTTCATCAGGGAATCTGCCATCACTTCGGATGATGTTAATGTTTGGGAAATTTCGTTTTTAACGTATTTCCGGGAGGTAATGTGAAGTTGCTGCTGTAAGTTTGATAAATGGCAGTTAACGGTTCATCCGGTTTTCGAAAAGTGCATATCCGAATGCAATTTTTGATGTTTTTCCCCTTTTACTTAATTATTAAAATTCCTGCCAGGGTTTTTGATATTTCTTTAATTTATGGCAAACAGCAGAAAATCCGCAGTCGGTTCTGAGGATCGGTAACCTGAGCTCGGGGATGAATGATATAAGACCCCCATAGGACATGCGTGATACTGAACCAGACAATGACAATGAAAAAGCTCACCAATAAAATCAGATGGTAGTGACAATACTTTTACGTCGAACCTCCAAACCAAAATCACATAGGTGAGAACCACTTGAACCGTTTGACACCCCACCACCACCACCCGGTAAAATCAACGGCAACCGAACAGTTTGGTTATTTATTTCATCCGATAACCTGTGAAGCCTGTATCACCTCGTTATATGATCCACAACTGATGTTTTGAGCACGCGATTTCAGTTCTCGCTGTTGGTTGCAATCGTTGTTCCGAAACGAGGGCATATTTCGAGCTAATCCAAGGCACGGTCAAATACCTAATATTTATTGGGTTCCCATCGATATAAATTTTAGTAGCATTGGTAATATAATTAAAAAAAATAAGGATCGCGAGAACTCGATGTTTTGTGTTTTCTATATTTATTTTGTGCCAACAAAAAACAGCTAGATGAATATTTACTAAATCGATTTGGCAAATTTCCAACCGAGACGTTCTTTTTTTATCCATCTGGCATACGAGGTGACTGTTATATTTATCTTTCCGGTAGAAATCGGTAAAGGAACGTGTCTGTTGTACACCTTAATAAAAATTAGTGTAATAAACATCCGAAAATAAAATAAATAAACCCTCCCAGGACGGTAATAATCAAGGGCATTCGTGTAAGACATAAAAGACTTAAAATATTTATTTCAGAAGCAAAGCGACCATTAAAATATGCCTTCTAAGTTTGTCCTGTAAAAAAACTACTTATACGGTTTCAATACACCGTTTGAAGTTGCTATCCATTTTTCGACAATGATAAGTTCATAGAGTACCACGTCTCGTCTGATGTGTTATCATTAATATTTTTTGAAGCGATCAAATTTGTGTTGGTCTGCAACAGTAGCATATTCGAAAGAACGAATGAAACTTAAATGCGAATAACACAGTGATGTCGGTAGAGAAGTATATTCGCCGACGTTTCGGTTACCATGGGGAACCTTTCCCAAGGCAGGTTTTACAATCAAAATTTGATTGTGTTTTGATAGTGTTGAAAATAATTCAAACATTCCACAGAATGGATAAATGGATAAATAAAAAAGAAAGGCTTCGTTTCAGGCGTTTACCAGGACAGCTGCAGCTCCCGAACGAGAATCCGGTTGGTGGATGGAAAAAAACATCAGACGAAGGATCAAGAACTTAAACACTTTTGCTATGCAACAATAAGTTATCCGAAACCAAAGCAAGATTCCCGAGGTAATGCGGAATCCACTTCACCCAAAATGGAACCAACTGTTTTCGGAGAATTCTTTGGAAACTAAAGGAGAATAAAAAAACCAACTTCAAATATAAAGTAAATTGCAAAGACTACCCGCAGCTCCATATCAGATAAACCGCGGTGCTTCTTCCAGCCTTGCCCGGCACGTGCAAAGAGCACGGAAACGTAGTCGGTGGGCAGGCATGGCGGGGCATTCGAAATTGGCCGCGCGGTCCATTACATCGTCGGACTCGGAACTATACAATCACTCTTCACTGGATTTATCTGGGATACACG